TTTTTTTTTTTTTTTTTTTTTTTAAGATTTTTAAAATTGATTTTTAGAGTGAGAGGAAGGGAGAGAGAGAGAGAGAGAAACATTGATGTGAGAGTGAGACATCAATTGCTGCTTCCTGCATGCCCCCTACCGGTGATTAAGCCCAAAGCTTGGGCATGTGCCCTGATGGGGAATCAAACCAGCAATCTTTCGGTGCACAGAATTATGCCCAACCAACTGAGCCATACCAGCCAGGCTCTAAGCAATCTTAGCAGAAATCCAGAGGAAAAACTGTGCTAAAGCTTATCAGGACTGGACTGTATATCAGTGGTTTTCAAAATATAGCCTGCAGTAATCACTCATGGACTTTATGAAATACACTCAAACCTCGGTTCTCAAGTGACTCCCATCTCGAACAATTTGCTTCTCAGCCCCACAACCCTTTCATGCTGAAACCTTTATGATCAGTCATGCATCTCTCAGATTACAAAGGAGAGAATGCACAAGTATGAGTCAGGTTACTACAAAACCTCACATTGTTAACATCTCAGGAAATTGTGCTGTGAATATTGTTGTGGGTTTTTTTTTTTTGCTTTTGTCACTGCTTATTTTTAAATTTTCATTTTTTACTGTACATTTCATTTCCTTTTTGTTAAATAATCATTTACATTTCATGTCCTTTTTGTTTTTAAAGTATTTATAGATTAAACAATACATTAGACATGTACTGTATATAAGAAAGGTTAAAACAGGGAATCACTTGGGGGCCTGGAACAGATTAATTCAATTTACATTACTTCTAATGGGAAAAATGATTAGATTTTTGAACAGCCTTTTGGAACCAATTAAGTTCGAGAGCCAAGGTTCCACTTGTGCAGGTTCCTAGGACCCATGCCCAGATAGTCTGATTCAGTAGGTTTTTATACACACTAAAGTTTAAGAACTACTACTGAAAATGTTTTACCTAAAGTTCACTCACTGACAAAATAAATATCTATTTTTATGACCTTATGCAGCACAGTGTTTTGTAGCATCACTAATTCAGAGAAGTTCCTTTAAGTCCTGAAGGGTAAATGAAAGCAATGGCCAGAAGTGGGGGTGGGGTGGGGATGTAGCATGTGGGTTGGAGAGATTACTTCCAGATAACTGAGGGGGTCATGGGTTAGAACTCTTAGTTAATGAAGCTGTGGATAGGGTAGTGGTATAGGAAGGAGCAGGGCTGAGAAATGGTTACTTGATCTGCAGGCTGACGGCAGGTTGGGGAAGTAGGGAATTTGAGTCCAGTTTTTACAAAGGCTCCCAGTGGTTCAGTCAACTCCGAGACATACAGAGTGGCCCCCACATGAAATCAGCCCCAGCTTTCCAGTCCTCAGCATTGCAGACACATGTCTATGAAGAGGCAGTCAGGCCTCCACTGTCACAGGAAATGACAGCTGAGTGGGGCTAGTAATTCCCCCACAAAATTTATTTTTATTTTTTCAGTTTAAAAAAATATATATATATCTTTATTGATTTCATAGAGAAGAAAGGAGAGGGAGAGAGAGAAACATCAATGATGAGAGAGTCATTGATCAGCTGCCTCCTGCACACATATACCCTGACCAGGAATCGAACCCCAATTGCCTGTATCCTAGGTCGATGCTCTACCACTGAGCCACACCTGGCCGGGTGATTTTTTCAGATTTTTTTAAATTGAACGGAGAAGTCACGTAAAACAGAAATATTAATTTTTATCAATTTCTTTATGTCCTTTTTTTATACATAAAATTTCATCGTGCTGGATCATAATGTTGGAGTTAGGTATGAGATTTTTCATTCGCAGAAGTTGCTCGATCACTCTCTTTCTTTAGGATGGGAATACTATTGACAAACTTTATATTCAGATACAAGACTTTTCCCCCCCTCTTCAATAGGCGCTGATGATCTCATCTATAATAGACTCCCGGGTGAATATCTGCGAGGCAAGGATAGGCAGCGAGGCCTGGTTGCAGCAGTTCGTCACCGCTTGAAGAACATTAACTGCCAGAACTTTGACACTTTGCTGGCAGCCTTCAGGCACTATGACAAGGCCAGTAGTAGAGCAGAGCCTTTGGTCTGTGCATGGGCTTCCAGATCCCTCAGATGGGTGTGGATCAGGGGTCAGGGAACTGTGGCCTGTGGGTCAAATCCAGTTCACCACTTATTTTAGTTAATAGTTTTGCATGCCCATTTGTTTTGAGTATTGTCTATAGCTGCTTTTGCACAACAGATGCAGAGTAGTGCATCAGAGACTACATGGCCTGCAAAACCTAAAATATATACTTTTTGGTCCTTGACAGAAATAGTTTCCTGACCTTTGCAGTAATCAGTGGTTGTCAAAGTGTGGTTCTTGTACCACCATCACCATCACTTGGGAATGTGTTTAAAATGCATGTTGAGTTCCTATTGAATTAGGAACTCAGGGGTGGGGCCTAGCAATTGTGCTTTAACAAGCCCTTCAAGTGATTCTGATGCACATTCAAGTTTGACAGCCACTGTTGTAGATTATTAAACTGTAGTGTGCTGGGAGCAA